GAGATAAGGAGGAAGGCAGAGAAACAGAAAGCAAAAAGTTCTCTTTTCTGCTTTGTAGCTACTGCAGGTGGTTGTAGAAATAGGCTCCCTCACACCAACAGAAGTTGCCTGAATGCAGCAGAAATGGCCTTGCACAGGTTCTGGAGCAAGGTGCAGTTACAAGCAGTGTAGGAAACCAGCCACCTGTGAGTGCTGATAAAAGAAAGGGTCACAGAAGAGGCACCAATAGAGGCCAAACAGCCCTGTTTGCCTTGATGACCCTGCTGGAACACTGGGAGTTTGGCAAAACTTCCATCTGCCCATAATCTCTGACACGAGTCAGCCAAAAGCTGGATTGCAAGAATGTCCCTTCTCATAATCCACCACTATTGGATGATACTGCAGTCAGTTAGTACAAAAAACAACTCAATCCCCAAACCCTATTTTTTAATCTTTTTAATTATTTTTAACAGGCAACTTTCCTAATCTACTCCCCAGCTGTGGAAAATATGAAATATGATATGAAATGTGAATACTACAATGACTGGAACCACTGTACCACCTGAAGTCCATTTCGTCTGGTGACTTTGACACTAGCAAAAAAAAAAAAAAAAAAAAAAAAAAAAAAAATCAGTTTTCTCACTCTATGTGCCTACTCAGAAACCCCCAAATCTGTGGGTGCTAAACTGAAAAGAATCCCAGGAAATCTACTGGGGTTTGTTGAGGAACTGCAGGATTCAATGGATTGAATGACATTTTAAACACTTTTGTGAATGACTTCTCACAGAAAAACTAAATCACAGCATTTTACATATGGCTTTTTGAATTTGAAGAATGTTATTTCACAAATACTTGATGTCTTAGCACTGTTTGCTGGAGTTCAGACATGAAAAAGGGGAGTTGGACTGAAAATAAGTCTTTATGATAATGAATAGACTGACTCAAAGGAAAAACACATTGATTGACCTCATAGTTAAGTGTCAGTCATCTACCTTCTTCCTCTGTTGGGGGTGTTTTTAATTTCAAATAAATTGCATCATTATCTCTACCCGCAAAATGGAAATTCCATCTCGGTTTTGATAAGGACTATCAATACGAGAAAAGAATTACTATAGTGCTCATTGAACAGATGGGTTCTTAGGGGGCTGTATTTTTATAATGATATGTTAAATTTTTTATCAGTTTTCCTAGTGAGATCAGCATTATTTATAAGCACTGAAGACATCAGCAAATACAATCATGGCAGTAACAAAATGTGGAACAGGAGCACTAGAAATTAGTGGCAACATGACCACTGAGTATAGCCACATTCTCAGCAATTCACCAGTGGCTTTTCAATGGTGACTTTCTTAACCTCAGAACCAAGAAGTTACTTAAATATCTTTGTAATTTGAACGGGGCTACCTAAAAGCTTAAAATGAGACATGTAACTAAGAGGGCTGAGCTCAGACACCAACAAAAAACTCACAAATTCTTCCATCATCCCTGCCATGGGGCCAGAAGCCCCTGGCACAGGGGGAGATCAAGAAAGAGTGGGAACTGCTCCAGCTCTGCCAGATTAATTGCTGGAAACATGCCAGAATCTTTAACCAACTTCAACAGAAGGCCTTTGCTGATGGGACTTATTTTAACAGCTTTGAGCCAGGGAATACATTGGGAAACTCCAGTATCTGACTGGGGGAACCTTCAGCAGGGCAGGAGTGAGGAATGGCAGCAACCTCTTCCAGCGACACAGGGGAAGCCGCAGTTCAACCTAGTTTGCTCAGAAGCTCCCCAGTTCAGAATAATTTCCACAATTGATCTTTCCTGATCCAAGCTAATTTTGAGTTAAATGAGTCAAGTGTTGGCTCCTCTGAGCAGGTATGAACCTGTGTTATGTTGGTATGAAAAACCTTTCAGCATGTGGAGTTAGTAAGTACCTTTTAAACTCTGTTTACAGAGCTAAAAAGGGGTTTCTATGTAGATCTGGCCTGAAGAATCTTGGGTGTCCAGCTTGTAACTAATATATTGAATGCTTCTAAGCTGCTGGAAGTCCCAGACGAAAATCTGAGATAGAAAAATCCTCACAACTGAACTACACAAATGTACTTCAGAGATCTGTCTGAATCCACTTTGCAGTCATTTTCACTTCCAGACATGAGTGGTCAGTCCAATGATTCCAGTACAGCTCAAGGGTTGCCAAGATTAAGTTTAAGAAGTTTAGCCAACTGTATAAATAGTTATATTTATATAATAAATTCAAATAAGGAATTCAAATAAGGGTGGTAAATATCAACCCCCTTCATTCTAGTGAGTTACAGGAGTTTTGAATGGAAACACCTACAATCAAAAAAAAGGGTGCTGCAGCCAGAATTTTCATCTGTTTGGGATGACCCTGCAATGTACACAGTAGAGTGATGTTCTGCTCCTGTCTCAAATACACCCTGCTATATTAGACCATTTCCCTTGGGATCAAACAGACAAATTCTGCAGTGAAAGCCTGATCCAAACATCATCTCAGTCTGCAGAAATATTCCAATTGATTTCAGTGGGCTTTGGAACAGGCCCATATTGGCATCTATTCAATTTTATTGAACTAAGTTTTCCTGGGGAGCTGCAGGAGCCAATATGGGTATAATGACTTCAAAAGCAAGCATGAAGGCCACTGCCAGTCAAATCACATCACAGCAAGGAAATGACAGCAGAATTAATTCATTATTATTTATCTAGATTAAAAAAACTCTCAAGTTTCCAAGATCACTACTGTGTTTTCCAGGTGAAGGAAACTTCCAAGTTGCCTTTGATCCCTCACAGATTTTTCAGTCTGAGTCACGAACTAGTTATTTATCACAGGCCACTGAAATAATTATAAGGTTTGCACAAGGATGATAAGCTTACTAAAAACATGCACAAAATTAAATATATTTGGGAATTTTGGCTATCTGCTAGCAGCCAACATCAACTACCTAATTTGTTTCTGCCATTAAACTCATATTACAGTCCGACTGATCATCAGTAGGAGTTAAACATGAGCTTGCCCTTAGGATTTGGCATTCTCTCATCACTAATTCAGTTCTTTGCTGACCTAGTGGTCAACATGCCCTTTTACAACAGGTCATCTCACTTGCTTGAGACATTTATTTCCCCACAGGTAATGCCATAATTTTAAGGAGACTAGTTTGGGAACAAGAATGACTGTGTAAATATAAAAACAAGATCTCTGTGGGGGTTTATTATGTTCTAGATTGGGATGTTATTTTAACAAATTATTTGGGAAAACCCAAAAGAGAATTCACAGGCAAATCCATGGAAAACATTAATCTGTTTGAGTAAAGGAGTTTAGTAAACATCAATGGATCAATAGAAATCTTTACTGAGCATTTCCTAGGTGTGCTTACATACATCTAGACTAAAGATAGATAATGCTACTCATACCTTCTATAATCCCAGAAAAGGAGATATTAATCTGGATTTTAATACAGCCTAAAGAAGAGAATTGCATAGAATACTTAAGCATTAAAATGATACTCAGTGTTCTGCAAACCTGTCAGGGAAAGGATTTCTTCCTGCTGCACAGCCCCACTGTTTAACAAAAGTCCATCAATATATAAAGGAATTCTTGTGCATAAGCCTTGAATGACAAATCCTCATGTCCAGTCTCACTGTTCTCACTGGACAGATGATAGCAATTAATTTGAGTCTCTTTGTAAAGCCATAAGAAGAGATGTAGGAAACATCAGCAGAGACTGCTGCAGTGCAAAGAGCACTTGCACTACCCTGGAAACCAGCAAAATTAACACAAGCATCACACTGACTATTAAGTGCCTGCAGTCTAATTCTTCCTTTCAAAACAGGGATGATTTTGTCCCATCCATTTGCTCTGAAGCACTCAAGGATTTCTTGATCTGCCACAATTAAATCCCATCAGGTATATTTGAAACCTCGGAGTTCCACACATTTCTCAGAGACTATGGAAATAACGTAGCCCTGTAGTTCCTTCTCTTCAAGATGGTTTCCTTCCCTGTTCAGAGATCCAGGCATCCTCCTTTTACTAGAATCCACACAAAGGTGCATTTCACAAGTATGCCCTGCTTTGCTCCAAGTATGCCCAGGTTTGAGAACTGCTTACAAAACAATCTGTTTTCAACCCATTCTGCATGCATCCCCCGCTGAAGGGTTTGCAATATGACCTCTGCCCACCTGCCAAGAGCTGGGAGATCAGTTTGATACCCGAAGCATCTTTCTCCCTCCCCCTTCCCTCTGCCTTGCCGTGACCATCGAAGGCATCCGCAGTGGAAGCGGCTGCACCTTCTCCCGGCTGCCCTGAGCCCCTGCTCTCCCCGTTCTCCCACGACAGCCCGAGCCATCCCGTGGGCGCCGCGGCCCGGGGCAGCCCCGCGGACCGCCCAGCCCACGGCCCCCTGCCTCTGCTAGCGCCGTCTTGCTGTGCCCAGTTCCCCCATCCGCAGCTAGGGAACCAGGCTCTCCTTGCGCCAGGTGCTCCTCTTGTTTATTTATTTATTTATTTATTTATTTATTTATTTATTTATTTATTTATTATTTTTTTTTTAACCTGGGGTAGCGGGGGAGAGCAAAATCAAATTGGCCGCACACTTAAACACAAGTGAGCAACATCCTCTGGAATGCAGAAGACAGCCCGGCGAGCCGGGCGCCCGGGGCAGGCGGGTCGGTCGGGCGTGCCCAGCCTTGCGCCCCCGCTCCGGCCGGCCCGGTCCCGGCGCAGAGCGGCCCCGCCGCCGCCGCCCGCGC